ATTTATTCCATAGTTACATCTGATTTTCGAATAGCATCCATATGTTTTTTTTCTAAGTCCCTCTCAAAACGCATGTATTTCTATGACAGTGTCGAACTTAGGAAAGAAAAGTACGTGGACTCTAGAAATAAAGAAAAAGACATAATTTCGACACACATAAGTTAATTCTTCGCGGAAGAAGATCGTGAAAATATGTGCTATTTTCAGAAAAAAATATATGGTTCGATTCACCATAGTCTTTTGAGTATTCCTGCATAAAACTTAATAGATTTTATTTAACTTGAGAAGCGAACAAAACTTTTCCAATGACATATATGCAATGACTGTATGCATATGTATGGGAGTATCGAAAGTAGGTAATGACAAGAAAGAAAAAGAACTGAGATACAGACCCATTGTAACTCTTTTCAGTGACGTCACTTACATTCAAGTCTGTCGATCTAAGTAAAAATCTAAAAAACTTTTATTTAAGCCTGAAAAGTCACTGAGGACAGCCCGAAATAGGGGACCTGGAAAAGTTACTGTCGAAATTAGGACATGTGACCCTACGTAAAATGTACCTTATGTTTTGGTCCAAATTTTGTCGTTCTTCAAAATTTCTTGTAAGCAGAAGTACGTAAACTTTCTGAAATTATGATACCTAAATAGAAACGCCCACAAAGAACCATTTTTAGCTTTAGGATATATGTAACTTGTTTGACTTTATCCCTAGAGAATCCAAGATCGCTCGTCTGATACAGGAGGTATTCTTAAACCAAACCATTAGTAACGGTATATATTGACTTTTAGTAGGTGTGTTTCTAAAACATAAACAAACACTGGAATGAAAACACTTAAAAAAAAAGACGTAAACCCAGGTCGAAGCTCTACGGTCGTAAACTATAGTATACGTCGAAATACATATCCATTTCAGATAAAATATGACATCGTAATCCTTCTCCATGGTGGACGTCATCGTATTTCGTCGTAAACAGCTCGTATTTTGACGTATACTACAGTATCCATCATCATAAACTGTAGTATACTGCCGTTTACCGCTGTAGTAATCATTGTCCTGGGAAGACGAAAACATACAGCTATAGCCTTCTCATATTAAAAAGCTGCATTTTCTTCTAAAAATAAGGTGACGGAGAAAGAGTCAGTCAGAAGACAGTGTTTCAGTTGTGCATAGTAATCATATAGAAGAAAATCAATTTGATTTAATATATTCCGATCTTGGATTCTCAACATTTTAGATAAAATTTTCTGATTAAACGTTCCACGAATATCCCACTTCAAGGCATCGGTGGCGCTATAACTTTCTTCTAATTTTTTTATAACCGTTAACACACTGTCATTTCCGGCATATTGCTCTCTACAGATTTCGAGAAATTTATTAAGGCTAAGGGTGTACGAGGCATCTTCAGTTGATATCCAATAATCGTTTGAAGCCACACAAAGTCAAGTCCAGGACTTCCAGGAACAGAGTGCGCTAAGGACGTAGTTCTTGGATCAAAAACACTTATTGGTATTTCATTTACTTCGAACTGATGTCGTTTCTTTTGATCAATTGATGGTTGAGCATCCAGACTCGTAGTGGATGTTACAACGCCATTCACAACAAGCAGAAAGAATCATTTCGATATCGAAACTTTTACTTCCTAACTTAAACATATTCATCTCACTTTTTCATAAGCATTTGACCACTGCTCATTATCTTCGCTGTCTCGACAATAAATATAGATTGCTACAATCTGGCTCAAATCGTGTCCCTTTGAAAGTAACGCCTTTCCTAATTCGTTAGACACAATCAAAACAATTTTCTGGTCGGTGTGCTGTTGAACGTACTGCTGGCATTCATTAACCGTTGTAAATGTTTTGATATAATTGATTGATTTTCATAATTCTAACTGTACCTGTCGATTTCCTTCTGTTACATCAACATTCAAATCGCACCATAACAGAGAAAAGTCTTCAAGATTCTTTTTTGCATAATTCTGTTCCTTTCTTAATGTTTCTCGAATGAAGAGCAAAGCCATTCTTTTGATGCTTTTAGTTGAAAGTTAATTGAAGAAGAGAGCACTTCTCTATTTTTTTTCTCTGCTGTACCTTTTTCCCTTCTTCTCTCTCCAACTTACTCAGTAGAAGCTGACGTTGAAATTCATTTAGAAAGTTGTCTTCTTCTTCGTCGATATCAACATGTACATTCGCTTCACTTTGTTCTGGGCGTGTGATTTCTTCCAGTCGACTTTCATTTTCTGTTTTTCTAGGAGAAAGTGACGACGAATTCAGAAATTCTGTTTTGACACGCATAATATCATTATGAATCTTTGCAACCTCTTGAGAAAAAACTGAACCTGCCGCTTTTTCATATACGTCTAAGGCTTTCTCATAGTTAAGTAATGCTTCGGCATAATTATGATAGCGTTCTTCATAAAGTTCAGCAATGTTAATGTATGTTTTGGCAATCTCGATCTGAGGACCGTTCGCATGAAACAGTAGTTGAACTTCTAATGCTCGTTCGTACGATCTCATAGCTCTTTCATATTCTTTTTTGTAATAGTTTATTTTGCCTTTGTTGTTCAGTGATTGTGGAAGTTTTTGATAATTTCGAGATAAGTCTACTAGTGAATCTGAATACTCACGTGCGTCAATACTGTTGCTTTCAAAGAATCGGTTTGATGCTACTACAATTTCTGGAGCGTATTCTTCGAATAATTTTGCTTGTATTTCAAAAGCTTCGTCATAGTACTGAAGAGCTAAATTGTAATTTTTCAAAGTCGTGTACACATGGCCCAGTGTCGTGAAAATATCAGCGGTTTCATAATTATTAGGTCCGTCGTCGTTCAATTGTGCATCTAACGCTTTAGAGTAGTTTTCTATAGCTCGATCATAATCTTGTTTTTCTGACCAAATCTTGCCGCGTTTCATATACATTTTCACAACTTCAGATCGTTTCTCAGGTGGGTTATTCTCTCTTTCATTAGCAACTTTTTCAAGGCCAATATTGCATTTCTCAATCTTCGGATCACCTTCCGGTAGTGAATGCAACATTTTTTTGAATATTTTTCAGCCTCATCGTACTTTTCCATAACCAAAAATAGCCAAGAGAAATACGACTCGTTTGTTCTTCCAAATTATTCAGCATTACTGCTACTGCACCAAGGTTATACCATATGTTCTCTTCTTCTACGTCTAATATTAACTTCAACACACTCATCCTTCAAACACACTCAAGTGCGTTATATCAGCAAATGGCTTTGTACCTTTCGCCTTAGTGTTGGCTATAATGTCGAATAAAACTGAAGTTTTCGACGTGTCTAAGTTATCAGACCCAGCACACCATACGGCAAGCTGTCAATTTTAAGTTGTTGAAATAAATGTATTTAAGGACACAATAGAGTTTTCTCTTTTCTTTAATCTTTCTAACTCTTGTACAGACATTAACTGACCGCGGTAGGCATGAATGATTTCTTTATGAAAATGTTGCTCACTCTTCAGCTGCTTATAGATCTCACGAATCAAGAAAGCGAATAACAATAATGTGTCGATATCTGCTGATTCATCTACTGTAAAAGTATATAGCTTTATCTGCTCTAGATTGTCTCTAGATTGTCAACCCACTCTTGTTGAACTTTATTTGGATACTGATGTTTACAAACTTCGACTAATTCATGAAAGTCAATTTCCACACCTCCATCATTCATTCTAATTAAAGCGTCAATGATAAGTTGATACCAGAGAAACTGACCGTTGTTGAATAGCATATCTATGGCTGTATCTTCCGAAGGGTTAGACAAGGTCAGTGGAATGGTTTATAATACTCAAGATCAGTTTGGTTGTTCACTTTTTTATCAAGTCAGCCAGAGTAGTCACAACGGCTTTAATCTGCAAATTAGATAAATTAGACTTAGCCAAGTTCTAAATTAGGATATTTCACTTAGAAATTATGACTTACTTTTCTGTAACTGCTTAACGAACGTTTTTGCTCTTCTTTTTTTGGGCAATAGACATAGATAGCTATAATCTGGTTGAGATGATGTACATACGGTATTAGTTTCTGCTCCAGACCGTCAGAAACAATTAGAGTTATTTTTTCTTTTCTTCTTCGGCGAATATAGTTTTTGCATTCATCAGCATCTTCAAATATCTTCAAGTAATCGATCGTTTGACGTAGTTGCATGCTTCCTTATTCTCATCGGTTGAATTCACAGTTGCACCATACCATATTAACGAGAATTCCACCCGATGTTTCTTCTCTGCTGACTTTTCTTGCGCATTTTGCCCTTCCGCCTTTTGCCTCATTCTTTTTATCAGTGTATATGCTATAAAGAAAAATTGTCGAACGGTTGTATATCCATAGCGGGTCAAACAACAGCGACAGCTGGAGCAAAACGCGATCACAATACTCACATGGAGAACAAGTCATTTTAGGAAAATGTGTTAGACCGGAATGGAGACTATTTCGGTTTCAGTACGCATCTCGCTTACACAGTCTGAACCGAGTGGAGTCGAAATCGAATCTTTATTGAATAAATCAGTAAAAGTTCTCTGTAAACACTTTTTTAACTCAGTCACAGTAAGCAGATATCGCGAAAAATAAAACGGGTACTAGGTATTTGCCAAGGTTGAATGCTTGCGCTCTTTTTTGTTTATTTTTCTCAATTTTCGCTTTCAACAAACGATCTTTTCGAGATTGAAAGTAAAACTGAATGAAATTAGTTCGATAGAAGATTATTGGTTATTTTAGATGAGTCGAACTGAATACTACAAAATTATCCCGATTCTGACTCTGCTCACTTTTACTTGAATGATTGTAATCGCATCCAACAGATGAAGCGAGATACGTAGACGAATCGGTAAGAAGCGAGGTAAAATTATTTGCTTTTATCCTTGAACAATGCCCATATAAACTATGACTGTTCTATTTTTTCGAAAAGTATGCTGAAGTTTTACAGAATACTTGAGCATCATCCAAGAGCACCTACGAAGTGTTGAGCAAGAAAAATTTTTACCATCCGAAAATCAAGTATCAGTAAAGTTTCTACTTTTCAATTAAAAAGTAATCCAAAATAGAACTTGAGTGGAATTATCAGACACCGAGTATTGCTGATGAATCATATGTTTCTAGAAAAAGGAACGTTGACTCTTCTTACGAGGAAGGAAAGGAAGGATACTCCGTCTAGTGATGGTCTGGGATTATTTTCATAGTTTTTCCTTCTTTCATTGGAGTAGCTGGAGCAGAGAGTGGCAATCATCAAACACACTGTTAAGCGTACTCTTTTGAAAATCACCCTACGGTTTTTCAATAGAAAAACTGCTAACTCGATACCTGCGGATTAACCAATGGTGGAGACGCTGCTGATGATAAGTTTCGTTGTTTCTGTTCCGTATGTTCTTCTTCAAGTGGCTGTGATTTCTGCAATCGGATAACTTTCGTTGTTCTGTTCGTCATTGCGTTCTGTCACAGAAAAAAAAGCAACTCACTGACTACCGACAATGACTGAAATGAAACTTCAACTCATACAAAAGTGAATATTAATTCTCCAGAATGAATTTTTTTGTTTGCAGTTCTACTAAACAAAATTGGTCGCTAATTACTCTCAATATTAAATCTTCGGGCGCGAAAGAAACAAGTTTTTATGATTTGTACACTCCTCTAGGACTCCACGTGTGAATCTAGTTACTCGCCCAGAAAAAGAATATTTTTTGTTCTTGAATACATCAAGATCTATGAAGATAATTATTCAATTTTAAAAAAGGTATATACTTTCACAATGAGTCAATCCCCACAAGATACCGACTCAATGTTGCCAAATGCCGACTGGACAGGGTAAACTGATTTCTTCACTAGATATAACGCAACATTTGCGGAGTCAGTGTCAATATATAAGGGATGCCCCAGTAAAATTGAAGTATGAAGGTACGAACAGACACCTCAAGTCGCTTCACTCATCTCGGTGTCAGTCGTGCGAAAAATCCCGTAAGTTTTCTCCGCCCGAAGCCGAATTGATAGTAGTTTAAGTTCTCCAGCAAATGTTTTTGGAAAAAGATTTGTCATCGCTTCCGATAGTGATTCATCATCATCCAGTTGTAGTTAATATTCGGTAAGCTATAGAGAGGGCGAATTTCAGTCTTGATGTAGAAGTGAAATAAAAAATTCACTGCAATTGTTGAACACGTTTTCGAAGGCAGGAGAATAATATCAAACAATAATAAAAACAAAACCATAAAAGTTGACATCATGAATGATTTTATGTACAAACAACTCTACAACAAAAAAAGGGTTATATAGTCATTGTTTTTCGTTTTTTATTGCTTTGCTCAATGCTTTGCTCATCATCATTGTCTAGTTTTGGTTTATTTGAATTAGTTGTATTCTTGTCAGTTTTATATTCGCCCTTTTCCATAATAACTTTTAATATTGTTTGATTTGTTTCAGACATTAGATCATAGTTTTCAAAACGTCGATTTAATAAATCATTGTATGCTTCATCATACTCATCTGTTGAAAAGAAAAAAGTTTAAGAACGAAAAAATAATGCAGTAGTGAACGAAAACTGAACGCAGATTAGCTACTTGTACTATCTTTTTGAACGGTAACCACGTTAAGGTAATTATTAACATTGTAAAATTCATTTTATGATTTAATCCTGAGAGGGACTGGGGAAAGTTTTAAGACTAAAAAATTTCTTTAGACCGGTAAAAACTGGCCGGTCAAACCATTTCCATCGGACCGGACTGGTTACAACTCGAAGTCAGTTCCAAGAAACACTTCACTTAGCTAATGGTCGGGATGACCCTGATTCTATTCAGTTTCATCTCTTGATTACAAATATGATATTAGTATTGTTACAAAACGTTTAGGAGTTGAAAAAATGTCATTTTTTCATTAAAGTGACTTAAAAGTCTACTCTAATTTTGACAATTAAAATTCATAGCTCCTCACGGACAATCTTATTTGCCACGCAAGTTTCAGGTTTTATAGCAGACGATATGAGAATGTTTTTGTGCAAGTGGAGTCTTGCATGAAAGTCAATTGATGGAGATATAACATTTTTACTTACCATGGAGTTTTTTGCAAAATCAAGATTTTTTGATTTTCAATCTTGCAATCACCGAAGATTGAACGCTACGTAGATGTCGACGGTTTCCTTCACAAATAGTTATTCCACGTATCCCACACATTTTAAAGTACTAAGAAAAGATTTTTTAGGAAAGATCACGTTTTTCAAACAGACAAGGTAACGTCCTGAAGCATCTTGCTCAATATCTGTAACCTGAAAAAGAGTGTAAGCTAATACGAATATTTCTTGTTCGTCTGCAAACTCTGTGATGCAAGGGAGTTCATCCGATCTTTTACACAAATTAATGGCCGTAGGACATCGCTCAAAGAAATCGAGGATAAATAAAACACTGATGTTACTTCAATGTCACATCGCTTGTCTGGGCAAACTGCTCAGCTTTAAATCGTTTCAGTGGTGTGGACATATTTTTGGTTGTTAGTAGGAGACTTCCTTTGTTTTTATGTGCCCAACGATAAGCCGGAAGACTGTCTTTGGTCGCTGACATTCCTCAATAAGAACGGCCTTGAAATGCTCGACTATGCAGCTGAGAAAGATTAACAACAAGGAGACCGAAGAAGGAGCCATCGTCATCATGTAATGCTCGATGCAACGGGGTCTCAAGTGTATAGAGACCAATCAAATGTGTTACACTTCTAGTTTTCTGCAGTTTTTCTAAGACATGATCAGCCTTTGCCCTTTCCGGATGAGATTCTGGAACATTTTAGTTAACGACTCTTCTAAGATCCTTATAGCACCAGTCGACGTCAAAAAATTTAAAGTCATCAGAAAATTTGGATATACTGAATCTGTTAAGTCTGCATTTTATTAACCTCATACCACATTGACCCCAATAGTCTCAGCAAGACTTTTGTATCCTTCCAGCCATTTATCCTGTTCAAAATCTTCGTCCTCACCGGCACTGATCTCTGAAGTGGCAGACGGTGCAGTGATCTTAAAATTCTTACTGCTCTCATCTCCACAAAATCG